AAGTAATGAAAGTGAATATAACTTTGTCCATACAAAGGAGCACCCCAAATTTCGACAGCATTTTATAACATATATATCTACAGCTCTGAATTTATGTTTAACTATATGTACACCTAAACTCAAATTTTCATAAATCTGGATTTTTTTTCTATTCCAAATTTATAGGGAAGATATAATATGGTCTTAAAGGAAAGAACATATTGATTCCTATCCCTTATTTATCACTACACTTTCTATTGCCATACTTAAGCCCTTAACTCCTCTCTCTGGTTTCTCAAATACTATAGTGAGAGTGTGAAGAGGCTGTATTGTATTTCAGGTGCTGCTGTAAAAATTACACAAAATTTATATTTTATTACAAATGTATTTATAGTTCTGTAGGTGAGAAGTTCAACACAGATTTCACTGGGCTCAAATTAATGTGTCAGCAGGCTGTGCTTTTTGGGAGGCTCTGGGGGATAATCCATCTCCATCTCTGTTTCTGCTTCTAGTGGCCACATACATTTCTTGGCTCTGGGCCCCCTTTCTCCGTCTTCCAAGGTAGCATGTTACATGTCTCTGACCAATCATCTGAAGCCATATTGCCCTCTGACCCTGACTTCAGTCAGCAAAGTTATTTTAAGATCTCATCTGATTAGGCCGGGTCCCTCAAGAAAATGCAAAATAATCTCCCATCTCAAGATTCTTAACTTTAAACCTAAATTCTGTATGTAACCTGATTAGAACCTACATTTAAATTGGGAATATGTAAGCAATTAGTTATGGGACATCTAGTTGTAAAACAGAGACATATAAATATACATTAATATATTTGCTATTTTTATATTTGAAAGTATATTATTCCAAAACTACAAATATAATTGCTTTAGCATTAGTTTGTCTCAAGTTTTTTAAAAAGATTTTTTATAAGCATCATATGAAGGCCATAACACTTTTACCCAAAAATATGCATAAACTGAGAATTTTGAAAACCATTTTTAGGGCACAAGAAACCTTTGAAGTAGAATCATAAAATCTCATGTGGTGACTATTGAAGTTTGAAATAACTATACATACTATAAATATGGTTTGGCCACTCTGTGTATAAGCACACACTTGTGCCAATAAAGGAAAGAAAATGTCCCTGAAACAACACTTGTACTTACATATGCTGTGCAGTCTGACTTTGCTATTGTGTTTGATCCTGATATATTTTATTTTTAAAAATTGTTGCCTACCCCTCTAACTTGATCTCATGACCCTTTACTTCATCAAGACCCATAAATGGGTCAATTCACAGTTTGAAAAATACTGCTGTGATGCTCTCAGAATTCCATAGTAAAGAGTAATGTTTGGGATTTTAGATAAAAATACAGCTATAAGCTTCTGTGTCATAAAGAATTATGTATATATTAGTCATGTTCAGCTTATCAATCTTAAAAAAAACATGTAGAAAGAGTGGAAACCATCACCATTACTGAAAGTCAGTCAGTCGATTGTGTGTGTGTCTGTCATCTATCTACCAACCATATGGAGAGAATTATATGCATAAAGTTTGAGAAAATTCTGAGTGCATTTTAAAATACTATGTACTAAAAACACCCAATAGATACATTATTTTTTCAAGTAGAACATTATCTAATTTCAATTTCTAAGCTATTATATTGTTATCATATATTTATTTTGATATATTAAATTCTCATACTTAAAAAGAAATAAAGATATGGATGAATTAAAAAAACTTATTTTACCATTTATTTCTCTTTTTAAAATATATTTTATTGATTTTTTTACAGAGAGGAAGAGAGAGGGATAGTTAGAAACATCGATGAGAGAGAAACATTGATCAGCTGCTTCCTGCACAACTCCTATTGTGGATGTGCCCGCAAACAAGGTACATGCCCTTGACTGGAATCAAACCTGGGACCCTTCAGTCCACAGGCTGATGCTCTATCCACTGAGCCAAACTGGTAAGGGCCATTTATTTCTTTTTTAAAAATATATTTTTATTGATTTCAGAGAGGAAGGGACAGGGAGAGAGAGATCAAAACATCAATGGTGAGAGAGAGTCATTGATGGGCTGTCCCCTGCACTCCCCACACTGGGGATCGAACCTGCAACCTGGGCATGTGCCCTGACTGGGATTTGAACCATCACCTCCTGGTTCATAGCTCCATGCTCAACCACTGAACATGCTCACCAGGCTGTTTATTTCTTAATTGATGTGTTTGTAAACACAGAAATTTTATCCCTTCACTTCAAAATAGAAAGAATCAAAAACACGTAAGAAGTCAAGTCAGGCCCTGGCCGGTTTGGCTCAGTGGATAGAGCGTCAGCCTGCGGACTCAAGGGTCCCAGGTTCGATTCCAGTCAAGGGCATGTACCTTGGTTTTGGGCACATCCCCAGTAGGGACTGTGCAGGAGGCAGCTGATCAATGTTTCTCTCTATCGATATTTCAAACTCTCTAACCCTCTCCCTTCCTCTCTGCAAAAAGTCAATAAAATATATTTTTTTAAAAATAACAAAAAACAATTAAAAAAAAATAAGTCAAGTCAGGACCTGCTTTCATGCGTTCATGTTGGTACCAGGTATCAGGACACGTGTGTGATAGAATTGCTGATTGCATTTCTAGCTTATTCCTGAAAGGGGCTCCAGCTCGTACTTTGTTTAAAAGTGACTAGCCCCATGCGAGGGCACTGCTAGTCTCATAATCAATCGCAGGCCATAAGATTCAGAACTAGGCTTTCTGTTAGATTTGAGGTATAAGCAGGATTTTAACTAAGGAGCAATTTTATCATTCCTGTATCCCAACACTGTATTCTATTTTTATTAATTTTTCTTTTTGTTAATCCTCACCCAAGGATATTTTTCCATTGATTTTTAGAGAGGGTGGAAGGGAGGGGAAGAGACAGGGAGAGATGAACATGGGTGTGAGAGACACATCAGTTGGTTGTCTTCCACACCTGCCCGGAACAGGGCTAGCCTGGGATTGCATCTGCAACAGAGGTACGTGCCCTTGACCAGAATCAAACTAGGATCCTTCAGTCTATGGGCCGATGCTCTGTCCACTGAGCCAAACCAGATAGGGCTGTAATCTATTTTTAAATAAAAATGTACAATGTATTTTTTTGTAAATTAATATACAAGGTTAATAAGGGCTACTACCTCAAAGACTCTCTAATTTAGATAATAGATACATAAATATTCCAAATGCAGAGATTTTTGTAAATTCTGGAACAACAATTTAAAAATCTCAACTAATGGCAGTATGTAGGGGTAAGTTACAAGCAGAGCCATCATCCAAAGTTATCCACTTCTCTCACAGCATCTACTTCTGTTTCCTCCCAATAAATTGTTGTTTAAAAAGGTATTCAATAGATTATACTTTTGTTATTTGTGAAGGTCAATGTTTACTTCACCTTATAGAAGTTTCTAGAATTTAAAAAAGATATCTTGAAGAAAATTACTTTAAATATTTACAGCTTGTCTAAATATAGTATAGCATTATGATATATTAATTTATTTTTTATATTTAACTAGGACTCTTACCACTTACAATATAACATGGACTATTCTTTTTTTAAAAAATATATATTTTATTGATTTTTTACAGAGAGGAAGGGGGAGAGATAGAGAGTTAGAAACATCGATCAGCTGCCTCCTGCACATCTACCGGGGATATGCCAGCAACCCAGGCACATGCCCTTGACCGGAATCGAACCTGGGACCTTTCAGTCCACAGGCCGATGCTCTATCCACTGAGCCAAACCGGTTTCGGCATAACATGGACTATTCTAAGTAGTAGTAGTTTCTGTTATTCTTCTTCCTGCTCCTCTTATTCCACCACCATCATCATCATTGTTAATCATCTTCATGACAGCTCTATGAGGCAAACACTATTATTAGTCATTTGTCTAATGTCACTCAGCAAATAAGTAGCAAAGCCTGATGCATTTTGTGGCAGCTTTTACCATCAGTTTGTCTTAAATATAAATTAGTACACTGCTTTCAATAGTTGAACAATCCTATATCTCACTCATCAGCCTATGGAATTCTTCCTATCTCAGAAACCTAGGCACAAACATATACAGAGGTCTGTTGTGGCCTCTAAACTCAAAATGACAGTTTGTTAACTATGTCATTGACTCAATGTCTATCAATTGGCTCATCTTTCAGAGCTTGCGAGAGTTCCCAGGGAATATTTGAGTCCATGAAAACAATGAATATATATTTGCAGTGAGTGATTCGCTTGATGAATAACAAGCCAGATCATTCAGTGCACACACCTAGATGTCATCCCGTGGAGGAAGTGATGTGTATATTTGATCATGTTGTGCACTGGCTCCCAGTGGTGGGGATTATGGCACATTTCTTTTCCCTCTCCACTCTTTATCAACTTAGAGCACTTTCTATTTCTTTCCAAGGAGGAAGATGTGGTTCAAATTCTCCCACAGGATCCCTGTGAAGCCATTCACAGTTCTATGAGTTATCTTTCAAGAAAGAACAAAAGTCCCTAGAAATTTGGTTTCTCTGGTTGCTGGGAGTAGCTATTATTCTCAGTGTGGTAGAAAATATTTTATACCAGAATTTCCAAAAACAAGTCTAGTCAAATAAGTCCAGGAAACGTTTCGTGCTAAAACTTCTATTTGATTAAAAACAATATGTGTGAAGCTATAAAATATTATAGGAATAATCTAGCATTAGCTGAAACTTCTGAATATAATGTCTCCTTTTGGTCCTTGTAGCAGCAAGTAATGTCACACATATTTCTTTAAACCAGAAACCAATCATTAATATTTGAAGTCTCAATCTCTCTGATTTTGGGTAAGTTTAATACCCTCACTGAGTATTGGTTTCTTCATATTCACCTTGCAGTGATGGCTAAACAGGAGGGTCTTTGTAAAGTGTCTAGTGACAATGTACTTGGTCCAATGATACCATTTTGTTTCCAAGTTCAGGACCTGAAGTCAGGAGGCCTGGTGCATTCATCTACCTCCATTTACGAGGTATAATATCTTAGGGCTTGTCACTTGTGCCAAAAGTGCGAAGAGAGCCTAAAAACTTGCGTGACATACGGGGACCTTCAACTGAAGATACTGAGTTCACAGAAGGCAATTTTGCAATCTTGGCACTGGGTGGTGGTTACCTCCACTGGGGCCATTTTGAAATGATGCGCCTGACGATCAACCGCTCTATGGACCCCAAGAACATGTTTGCTTTATGGCGAGTACCAGCCCCTTTCAAGCCTATCACCCGCAAGGGTATGGGACAGCGTATGGGGGGCGGCAAAGGCGCCATTGACCACTATGTGACTCCTGTGAACACTGGCCGCCTCATAGTAGAGATGGGTGGACGCTGTGAATTCAAAGAGGTACAAGGTTTCCTCAACCAGGTTGCCCACAAATTGCCCTTCCCAGCAAAGGCTGTGAGCCGTGAAACCCTAGAGAAGATGCGGAAAGATCAAGAGGAACGAGAGCATAACAACCAAAACCCCTGGACCTTTGAGCGCATAGCCACTGCCAACATGCTAGGGATACGGAAAGTACTGAGCCCATATGACCTGACCCAGAAGGGGCGATACTGGGGCAAATTCTACCTGCCTGAACGTGTGTAGTGAGAATATGAGAAATAAATGTACAGAGAGAAGGAATCTACATATTTGTGCCCCTCAGTTACCTTGAAAGTCTGGGTAGCTCTGATGTCATAACCAAGGAGCCGCATACGAGTGCTATAGATGAAAGTGCATTATATTTATATTAAATAAAGTTTCAGTATCACCTCTGGTTAAAAAAAAAAAAAAAATCTTAGGGCTTGGATATACCATCTCTAAGGTCAAGTTTGCTTACTTGACACTGGTTATTAATAGTATCTAGCGCAAAGAATTCTTGTGAATATCTAATATTGTGATGCATAAAAAGCATTTAGAAGTTTGCTAGCATTGCGTGTTCAAGTGCATGTTCAATAATTTTTAACTATCCTTGGTGCTATTTCCTTGACCCTACCTTCTTACCCCTCCTTTTATCCGATGCAGTCAAACTATTAAGTACGCAATTAGAAACGTACTTCAAGGAATGGCAAGCAAATAGCAAGACTTCTCACCTGCTTTCTTTCACACTCCCATCCCATCCGTCAGCTCTACTTTCAGAATATACCGGAATATGAGTATCCTGTTTCAAAACCACGGTTATTGCAATAACCTTCTGACTGCTTCCCTGCTTCCACTCTTGAGTCACCACGATGGATTCTCAAAGGCAGCGGCCAGGAGGTCCTGCACAGTCCTTCCCAGGTGGCCCCATTGACTCAGCTCTTACCTTCACTCCACATTGCCTGTCTCAGCTCCTTTGTCTTTGAAATCCAAAAAACATGATTTTTGTCACCAGGTTTGTATTCACTCTTTGTTCTGTATGAAAACCTCTTTACTCATATAAAAACAGTCTCTTCAATAAATGGTGTTGGGAAAATTGGAAAGGTACGTGCAAAAAAATAATGAAACTAGACCACCAACTTACACCACACACAAGAAAAAACTCAAAATGGATAAAAACTTAAATGTTAGACCTGAAACCAATAAAAATCCCAGAGGGAAACATAGGCAGTAAAATCTCAGACATCTCACGTAGCAATATTTTTGCCAATGCATCTCCTAAGGCAAGGGAAAAAAAGGGGGAAAAAAATAAACAAATGGGACTACATCAAACTAAAAAGCTGCTGCGCAGCAAAAGAAGCCATCATCAACATGAAAAGGAAACCGCCTATGGGAGAACATATGATACATCTGATAAGGGGTTAATTTCCAAAATATATAAAGACCTTATACAACTCAGAACAAACTCTTTGCCTCCAAATCAATGTTTAATCTGATTTTATCAGAAAAGTATTTTCCAACAACACAATTGAAAAGATACCATCTTTCTTCCTTTTCTTACCTACCATATTTTTCTTCTTTGAACTTATCATCATCTGGTAATTTCTATTTTTTTATCACTAGGATATGAGTTTCATGAAGGAAAGAATTTATTTTTTTCTCCCACTGATGCATCCTCAGAATCTAGAAAAGTATTTGACACATGATTTATGCTTAATGACTAGTTAATAAATGGATTACTTTTTTAATAATAAGGACTTAGATTTCACCTCCTTTTATCAATTGAAAATTTTAGTGTGATATTTCTGAATCCTTTTAGCTAGCTTGAATTTAAGAGCACAGATGTGCAGAGAAACTTAGTGTGTGCATTGTTAGGCACTGTTATAGTCACAGAATAATTGGCAAGATCTAGCAAAGATGACAGGTGAAAAGGAAGAATAAATTTTTTTAACCAGACTATTCTTGTTCTATGGATATGAACTTTTCTTGAATTTCTGACTATATTTACTACATCTAATTTTTTATATTCTGTTTTCTTAAAAGTCGATTTATTTGATGTATTATCTGTTTTCCTTTTCCTCACATATCTAGTAATAGTTTATAACATTTACATAAATAATAGAGAGATTGGCAATAATAAAGTATCAGTATTAAAAACTGATGGGTATTTTTTAGAGATCCCTGCTTCTATAGTAGGAAATGCTGTGCAATTTGCAAAGCCCTGGCCATGACTCATGGGTAAGTGAGAGCTGTATTCATCATGTGGAGGGACAGGTGACTCAAACAGCAACTTGCTTCTCTTTGTAGCTTTATCCCACTTTCTAGACTCCATACACACATTCTTTATTTTGCGTAGAGAGCTGGTCTCCCTAGCTATTCTTAACCTGTGAGCAAACCACAAATAGAGCTGTTTTTGTACGGAGGGCAGAGGATTGGCCCAGCGAGTTACCTTTAGAACACCTTACAGCAGACTCTGGCTAATGGCTTCTGGGAGGGGCCTGGGCGATTTTGGTTAAATCAATACCCATTTCTTCAGCAGCTTGCTGATTTCTGTGGCTGCATTTAGTTCTGTGATTGATTTGAACAAAAGAGCTCTTTAATTGCCATACATTCTCCAATGAAACTGGTTGATATTTCTTTTTTAATTATTTAGTGTGCTACATATTTATTTAAATTTTATTTTCTATGTATATTTTTAGTGATATTTGAGGAAAAAAAGGCATTTTACCCCATACTTTAAATCAAGTATGTGTTGGGTGTTTAGGAGGATTTATACATGGACATGAGGAAGAATTCATAGTTACTGGTCCTGGTTGTCCCAGTGGAGGAGACAGAAGACATAACAGATAATCAATGCAGTGGACTAAATGCTATCAAGTGGTAAACATGAGATAACATACTTAAACAACAAAAGAAAACTACAGCCAGCCTGGGGATTTGGGACTCTTCTAGGAAGAGATAATGAATGGTAGAGTGTGAGAGAGTGAATAGGAATTAAACTTGCAAAAAGGGCTGGCAGGAAAAAAAAAAAAAAAAAAAAAAAAAAAAAAAAAAAAGGAAGGAAGGGAAGGAAGGAGAAACTACTACAAACAGAATATTCTACGTGGAATATTCTGGAAAACCTTTTAATTTATTCATGTATATATGTATGTATGTATGCATTTTAAACCTTTAGTTGCCCCAACTAAAATAAAACATTCCCTGGCAGAAGAAAATTGAGGCTTACCAACTGGTATCTGGCCATTCTGACTGGCCCTCTCAGTATGTTTTTCACAATACAATATTTGTATTTTTTTCCAATTAGGCAAAGTTTTATTGTCAGTGATGCTGTAATGTACCTAACACATTTCATGTCAGCGTCCACATATGTACTGATCTGTGGCTCCTTGGAAAGTCACTCAGCATGTTGATCAAGAAAAATGGCAGTTGATTTTTGCTTCTCACTGATGCCCCAGATGTTCTGTTTTCCTCCATTTAAAAACCACATACACTGCGAAGCATAAACATTTGTTTTCCGATGTGCAATTATAGCAGCCGGAACTCTAGAGACCATAGGCGGTATTAGCTGACCTTGTGGGGGCTGTAGTTACAATATTCACCAACCAAACTGCAATAAAACAAATAAGAAGTTAATGAAATTGCTTTGCTTCTTTTAAATTCACAATAAAATATAGTGCTAATTTAATGTTTATTTCTATTTCTTTCTCTCTCCCATTCTATCTCCATTTTGCCCTACATTACATTGTCCTTTAAAGCTTGACCCAAATTTTTTTCATTAACTTTGCATTACTGATTTCCTTATGTGTGTATGTACGTGTTTGTTTCTATATAATACTTATTCTTTTCACTGGTGTTTCACCAGTGTGTACGTTTCACTAACAATATTTTAAGAACCTTGAATGCAGGAATGAAGTACATAGGCTTTTCACATCCTTTGATAAGTTTATGCCTATGTATTTGACTCTTTTGGTTGCAATTGCAAACAAAAATGTTTTTTCATTTGTTTTTTCTGAAATTTTTTTTGTTAGTATATGCAGTGGTCAGCAAACTCATTATCAGCAGAGCTAAATATCAACAGTACAACCATTGAAATTTCTTTTGAGAGCCCAATTTTTTAAACTTAAACTATATAGGTAGGTACATTGTTATTAACTTAATCAGGGTACTCCTAAGGCTTAGGAAGAGCCACACTCAAGGGGCCAAAGAGCCGCATGGGGCTCGCGAGCCGCAGTTTGCCTACCATGGGATAGGAATGCAGTGGATTTTTGTACATTGATTTTGTGTCCTCTGACTTTACTGTGAATATTCATTATTCCTAACAGTTTTTTAGAGGAGTCCTTAGGGTTTTCTATATAAAGAATCATGTCATCTGCAAAAAGTGACCCTTTTACTTCTTAATTCCCAATTTGGATGGCTTTTCTTTCTTTTGCTTGCCACTGTGCTCTGGCTAAGACTCCCAGCACTACTCTGAATGAGAGTGGTGCCAGGGGGCATCCTGATCTTAGAGGAAAAGCTTTCAGTTTCTCACCATTGGGGGTATGATATTAACTGAGGGTTTGTCCATATATGGCCTTTATTATGTGAGGTACTTGCCTTCTATACCCATTTTGTTGAGTGTTTGAGTTATAAATGGATGTTGTATGGTATCAAATTCCTTTTCTGCATCTATTGAAAAGGTCATATGATTTTATCCTTTGTTTTGTTAATGAGATATATTGATTGATTTGCATATGTTGAACCATCCCTGTACCCCTGGGATGAACCCCAGCTTATGGCGATATACCATTTTTTAACGTATTGTTGTATTTGATTTGCTAGTATTTTGTTTAGGGTTTTTGCATCTGTAATAAAAAGTTTTCTTTTTTTGTGTTATCCTTGCCAGTTTTGGATATCAGAGTTATGTTGGCCTCATAAAATGTGTGAGGAAGTATTGCTTCTTTTTCAATTCTTTGAAAGGGTTTGAGAATAATAGGTATCAAATCTCTTTTGAATGTTTGGTAGAATTCACTGTGGAAGCTGTGCCCGGCGGCAGCCAGACCCTGCCAGCAGTGCAGCCACCAGTGTGTGGAGGTGGGGTGAGCTGGGGGAACCCAATGCCTCTTTTGTTGCTTTGCCCTCCCACCAATGGCGACCAGCAGACCTCCACAGCGTCCCCCCTGCACCTCCACCCAACCCTGGGATTAATCACAGGGTGAGCTCCTTGCTCAGAGAAAAAGTGTTTGTGTGGTACCAGTTCTTGGGTTGCAGATGATGTGCTCTGCAACTCGACAGGATGGGTGAGATGTTAAGGGAATGCTGATTGCCAGACAACTCTGGCTGTACCTCTGTGCGTAGTCCCTGCCTAGGTCACTGGGCCCAGATGCAGCTAGTACTGCCCACTCCCCAGGGATGCTCACTGCATCTCCTTGCTCCTCCCAG